CCCCGCCTCCACTCTTCTTGTCTATGTCGTGACACCGGGTCCAGGTGGGGTGATTACGGAAGGTGCTGCACAAGTTTACATTCACTATAAACTAATTCACGCACAAGTCGTCGTGTCTGCTTCACTTTCCAGTAGAGCACACGGTGGACATCGTCGGCAACGACGGTCGAACTGTCGCCTGTAGCACTGCCAACAGCGTTAATTCTGTGAGTGGACTTCAAAATAGCACGCGAAACTGATAGGCGCGTGTGCTTGTTTTGCCCCAAAAACGGGTAATGCGCTAGATGCGCTGGATCAACACAGGGGCTATCTGGCAGGCGTTATCGGGAATGTGCACCCATAACAAATGTCAACATTGGGGTGTGGTAGCACGCCCAATTGCCGTGCCAATTGGGATCGCTGCTGCTCCCAACTTTTGTTGTTGCTGGAAATCCTGATCAGTGTCTGCTGTAGGCTAGGGGGTGCAGTAGTGCGTCTCGGTAAGGGTTTTCGCCGTCCCAGCCACCTGCGCCCTCTCCCGCCTCCGGTCTTCTTGACTCTGTCTTGCTACCGCATCCTGGTGGGGGAAGATGGGTAAGTATAGTAGATGCTGCGTAAATCTTCTATCGCTGTAGACAAATTTACGCACAAATCACCTTCCCTGCACTCACCCCGCTGTGAAACCCACTGCGGACATCGTCGGCAAAGACGGTCGAAATACCGCGTATGCACCTGGCGTTTCTCAAACAGCCGACCACTAGACGCGAGGAGTGGCGCACCTTAGAGGCTAGGGCAGAATGCTGCCAAACTTAGCCGACTGCAGCGACGTGTGCAATCAATGTGTCATTGAGGGCCCGAACTCCACTGACGCCGCTCTTGAGACCTATCAAGTCACAAGCTGGCGTCAGTACCAGCAGACAACCTCCACGTTCAATGTTGTAAGGGATAGAACCCCGCAAGCAAATACACGTCACGCATCACGCAGCGGAAGGACAGGACTTTCCAATAGTGGAAGAATGTAGCATCAGATAGTATGGTGAGGAATGGTTACTAACGTTAGGCTAAGATGAAATTGATGAAGGCGGGGAAGGAAACAGAGCCGGCTGTACGGGAGAAGACAATTACAGAGTCGCTGTCGAGGTTCTATCAGGAAGTTTGAAGACCTAGAAGCGAATCCTCCCTGAGGAGAGTGAAATACGAGAAGTCACTAATCACTGAGGCACGGCTCCCAATGCATCAATCAAAACTCCCAAGCAATAATGAAGGACCTTAAGAGAGTAAAAACAAAAAATTAGAATAGAACATTGGCTAGAACCAACGAAGGCAAACACGGGAGTGGGCCCACCCCCATTCTGGTTGCCTTGAGCTAACTTCCAGGGAGAATAATGTTAGCGTTGAGGCTAAGGTTAGGGTTAGCGCTACGTCCAGCGTCAGAGCTAGGACAGAAGGATATTTACCTCTTCTGGGATTTTGTACAAGGCCAACTGTATTACTGGCACGAACTAAGTGTGGCTGTGAGTCAGCTGTCAGCACTTTGACTACAAGTTTCAAAGCGGTTTCACGACAACTTGGTGTAATTTATCTGTTTGGAATTGTTATATAGGCAGTTGAGTATGACAAAGGTGATCTTGTCTGATTCGCCGCAAGGGATGCCAGAGGAATAAGACTTCACAAGGTTACACATTAAAAAGGTCGGTCATTGATTAACGAATTGGAATAGAAGTGGTAGATACAACCGTAATTATATCATTTGCAGTTTATCAAGAGAATTTCCTTCAGTAAAATTAATGTGTGGATTTCGGTGGCGGCGCAGTCCGTCGAGTTACAGAGCTTTTAGGCTCTCAGTATTCAGAAGACGAGTTGGCAAACATACGTTGCTTTCAACAAGTCCTCCTCAGGCCTGTACAATTATAAGGGAACGGGATAGAAGCAAAAGCATGTCAGTGATACAAGAAATCGACCAGAGTTTGTCTTAAAACACAGGCGGGATGTGGGAATGTGGGAGGGGGGAGGGCACTAACAGTCAATGCCAGGGAGGGGATGAGGGCTGAAGGGAGCGCAGTTGCAGCGTTAGACGACCTTCGACCACTGTAGGCGCGGTGCCTGAACGCGATTCTTCCGTGCACACAAGATTGGTTTTCGTAACCTGATGGCGGCGGCTTCCGCTGTTGCTAGCAGGGTATTTCGAGGGAATCGTATAAATCACACGAAAAGATTCTCTGGGATCCACACGATGTCCGGAATCAACAACATGCCCGAGAGTGGTGCTGCTTATGCTCCTGGTTTCGCCTTTTCGCAGCCTTGCCGGGAGGTGATCTCGTATTCTCTTGGATGAGCGCCGCTTCGTGCGACAAATATAACCTGCTACACAGGGGCAAGTAACGGAATAGATGCACATTAAGGTGGTCTGAGGTGGCAACTAATCCGCGTAAACTAGGGTTAGTGGAGAATGATATTCGAACCATTGTCGCAGGGAAGGTTCGCGAGACACCTTGACCAAAGGCGTCTCCTTAGGAGTTCGTACACGGCGTCCCTTCGAAAAGGGACTTTGAGGAACAAAGCTATCTTTTCGGCAGTCATCGTGGTGGGTTTTACCGGCCGTTTAGCAATGTTCTTTGCAGTAAACCTGTTAGGATACCCATTTTCACGAAGCAAGTCCTGCAATTTTTCTAAGGTCCTCCTCGATGCTATCTGTTGAACAAATCGTTCTAGCTCTTTCTGCCAAACACCGGACTAGATTTCGTTTTTGTTGGAGGGGTACGAGACTGGCGAAGTTCGTGTATTGTCCAGACTAGGTTTCCTTCCGATTTACGCTCCTTTGGACGCAACCGCCAGGGTTCCTGCGCAGAAGAACAACGAAGAAAAGGGAGCGAACTGGCCGTTCCCATCTCCAACGTGAATTTAATCGACGGATGTGCCTGATTTACAGCATTTAAGAGGGTAGTTACGTCGGTTTCTGCAGGGGCAATTGCAAAAATATCACCAACATAGCGACCGTAACGTTTAAGCCTATTGATCTGATCTTTTAGTTCGAATCTCTCTACATTGCCAATGAAGACGCCGGGATGGTGACCCATATCACGACCAACGGGAGCGTCTCAAAATCATTTGCATTAACCAACAGAGTGAGGCATGGCTGCGTACTCCCGTCCACCCTTTTAAGCCTAATATTTTCTGTGATGCTGATGGATGCCCAGCGTGATGGGCGCCATATAATCTGCACCGCTTACAGGACCGGTGGTCATCTCAACAGCCGGCGCCAACAGGTTTCCAGTTTATTTGAGGGAAACATAGGTGTTGAACATTTGAGCTCCCTGTTTGTTACAAGGTCTCAACGCATCTCTCCACGAATACTATATGCAACCGGCTCTTCGAAAAAGACCGCGCGCTTAACACCGTGACAGTAACAGACATGCAACGGAGCGTGAACATTAACGCTTCCGGCTGCGGCAAATTCGGGCTAACCATCAGCACGGACAAAACGGTGGTCATGCATCATCCGCCGCCTAACGCTGCACACAGTGTTTCTTACACCCACGTCAATGGCACCAAACTGAAGAACGTGGATAAGTTCGTCTGTTTGGGCGGCATAATCTCACGCTGCATCGAAATCGACGATAAAGTGGCCAACGGATCTGGAAATGGAACCAAGCCTTCGGCCGCTTGGAGAACGCAGCATGGAATCGCTACGGTTCCCACTTTAACACCAAACTGAGGATGTGCAGATTGGTCATCTTCACCACACTGCGGAGACATGTACAGTTTACAAGAGAAAAGCGTGAAAACTTGATCATTTCCACCTCAACTGTCATCGGCCGTTACTAAAGTTAAGGTGGTGGGACATGACCCCGAACACGGCGGTTTTGGAACGGACTGGAATCCTCAGAGTCCACGCCATACTGAGGCAACTGCAACTACGATGGAGCGGCCGCCTCATGAGAATGGACGATAATTGATTACCAAAACAACTCGCTTGTGGAGATGTTGCCAAGGGTGCTCAGGAGGTCAAACCCGCCGATACAATGGCATCTTGGAAGATTGCTTGAAGCGACTAAAAATCAGACCGAAGACCTGGGAGGTCCTGCAGAGTACCGAACGGCCTGGATAAAGTCATTGACGACAGGTGCAGGCGTCCATAAAGCCAACCGGATCGCCACTGCTAAAAAAGAAGCTCGCAAGTCCCAGACGCTCCTGACGTGCAACACCCAACGTGCCTGCACTCTGAGTGAGAATTCCTCGTGCGGATCGGACTATTCGATCATCTCAGGACCCAGTTCACCAATAGCCTGACAATTTTAACTCATGTCTCGCTAGCCACCCCTCCAACTCCCATGGCATCCACGCTCACCGACGATACTCAGAATCCCGTGCTCCGCCGCCGTCGATTACCGTCACAACCTCCGCGGCAACGACTACCGCCACCACTCCTTACAAACACATTGGGCTGCCTGCGAAGTCCGGGTTGTCCCGTCTGTTGGTAACAGTCCAAGTTACAGCTTTTAGTGCACTGTGACAGCGCGTGCAGCAAACGAGCTGCACGGAGAAGGGAGTCAAAAAGTACACCTCCCACGTTAGTGGGAGGTGCTGATGATGTGGTTTGGTGTATGAGTGGCGTATGCGTTAACGGGGGAATAATTGGTGTTTTCAGCGGTCGACTGGCGAATTTAGATCCAGACTGTGATGGCTCCTTTATGACACTCAGTCACACTCCCTTTTATCTTATCCTGGTGTACGCATTTGAGCGGCAGGCCATGCATGTGTTGTGGCAGATGGGCTCCAAAGTTCAGTCACTGCGCCCACTCCCTGCACCGGACAACTGGCCAACTAGGACAGTGGACCTGTAGCTTGACCCCCACGGCTTCTTCTCAATGTGGCCTCTATGGCAGTCGCCCAAATGGGATCCGAGCCACCCCCGTTTTTTTCTTGGTGTGAAATCTTGTTCGAGATTCGGGTTCGTGATGTCGACACAAAATGTGCGTCTCAGGGAGGAATTCATTTCAGGCAATCAGTCCGCAATGGGTTCAAATTATTTGGAATAATCCTTAAAACGGTTGACATAAGATTGAAACTGCATACCCGGGTCTTTGATCCGGCACAAAAAGCCGTCAACTGTGGCTTTCTTACTCGACAGCGTGGGGGTGCTCCATGACAGAACGCCCCTCAAAACGAACACGTCAAAGGCTGGGAGGACATAAGTACTCTTCACATCGCCATTCCGAGGGGTCCAGCAAGCTAACCTCTACAACGTGGCCTGAGCTGTGATACCGCGCACGCGCACCCAGACTTCAAGGCTCATTTCCTCATGCGCCCAACTTCTGCGCCTTGAAGGGAGGATAGCCTGCCCTCTCGAGCTTCATCAGAGTGCCTCTACGCTTGCACTTCCTCCTTTGGGGCAGCTAATAGTGGCCAAAAGTAAGGCGCCTATCTAATAGTATGTAAAAGCACCATGATGCATGACTAAACCAGAGCCATTGAGGCCCACTTGGTTTACAGCAATCACAGGGTAGACATCAACCAGGCATTTCGAGTGATCTGTTAAGAGGCGCCGTGGCACTAAGCTTCTGCGCCATCGTTGGCAGAAATGACGGTTATAGAGCCGGTCTATTCAGTCTTGTGGTCGCGGAGGACGTTTATTCGGGCTGTCAGAGTACCATAACTCAGGATTGGCTTTCCATGCTAGTGCCCACACCCTCCCACGTCACGTTACGGCGACTAAACACGATCACCAGCCACCGGCAGACCACCCTCTATTCCTCTCCCTATGCCTTCAACTAAACTGTACCTCCTATTCTCACATGTTCGAACTTCTTCAACCTCCCACCACGACTACTGTTAAGTGGCTGTTATCAACTTTGCTGCTATACAACAGCTTATTATTGTACAAACCTGAGTGGCCTTCATGCCTTTGCCCTGCTCCTTCTGCAGTTTACACAACTCGTCACTTGAAAAGCAATTTCTGGACTTTGTTGACATCGCTGTAGAGGAGGGGCTTTTAGAAGCTGTGGGGGTCGCTACCCTTTATTTCCGGGTAGTAACAAATGCACTATAAGGATGGCGAGATGCTTATCCTCCGTGACCGACTAGCCCCGACGCCTAAACAGTCCAGGAGAACAGGCGCCCAGGCGGACTACTTCTAACTCAGACATGAGACCAACCAATGACAGCTAAATTCACTGGGTGATCACGCCTATGCTTACTAACCAATTAAAGCTGTTGAGTTTCGGACGTTTTATTGGTTACCAGGGCTTTTGATCCAAACGACGTTCAGCCAATCAACGTCCAGTTTTCTCCGAATAGGTAAGTTTTGCTAGCCTTGATTTTATTCGCTGACCATAATATCCCTCTGCACGTTGTGAATGGCTAGATGTCAAGGAGAGCCAATCAAAATGCGACAACGCAATTCCAAAACTGAGACATACGCTATATAAACCCGTTGAGGACAATGGGCCGCGAACATCGTCTCAGTACGCACCGCAATGGCACGAACAAAGCAGACTGCCCGCAAGAGCACTGGTGGCAAGGCCCCACGCAAACAGCTCGCCACGAAGGCTGCACGCAAGAGCGCCCCGGCTACCGGTGGTGTGAAGAAGCCGCATCGCTACAGGCCCGGAACTGTCGCCCTGCGTGAGATCCGTCGCTACCAGAAGAGCACTGATCTCCTGATCCGCAAGATGCCTTTCCAGCGCTTGGTCCGTGAGATTGCTCAGGACTTCAAGACCGATCTGCGGTTCCAGAGTTCGGCTGTCTCGGCTCTGCAGGAAGCCAGCGAGGCCTACCTGGTCGGCCTATTTGAGGACACGAACCTGTGCGCCATCCATGCTAAGCGCGTAACGATCATGCCGAAGGACATCCAGTTGGCACGCCGCATCCGTGGCGAGCGCGCCTAGGCTGCTAGACTGTCCGTCTGAGAACGATGCAATGGCCCTTTTTAGGGCCACTACTCTTGATTGCTGTTACTCCCTTGTTGAGTTTGTCAGGGTGGGGCCTAACGATAGTGGCGGGGTTGTGTCGGCCACGTTGGGCATCCGTAGGTTATCGCGACGTCCGTCAGTTGCTTAATCGCTTACAAAGATCAGCTTAGTCGGCAGCTCGGTCGAGGTCTTAACGTCTCCCGAGATGTGCACTTGGCCGACGCCGCAGATCAGCCCAGGCGGCAGTGTGAGTGCATCGAGACGGTTAGGCCGACTGGCTAGTGCTTGCCTCCGATATCAGGGGCGGTTTGATTGCCGAGGGCGGTCACCAACTCAATTAGGAGACGTGGTGTCGGCTTGGCCCAGACGCAGGTGAGACGTAAAGGGGGGTGCGCGTGGTCAGACTTTGGGAACCTGTGTCCAGAAATGTTTGCCCATGGTGTGTTCCAAGTTGAGTAGTGCGGGTGCCATACTCTTCGACCAAGGTTTTTGATGGTGCGGTTTCCCGCGGATGCCGTAGTGTGGAATCTAAACACCACGAGGTAACTGAAGGTGGACCCGCAATGACCGCTCGAATTACTCGTTGGTCCCAGATGGTGATTGCCAGCAAAATCACCTGATGTAGGTTTGGGGCCCTCACGTCACAGTACTTTGTGCGAGTTGGTTGTCGGCGTGATAGACCTAAGCGTCCGCACCCTATTAACGGTGCCGCCGCTAGTTCGGAACTGCCCATTCGCTAGTCTGCTTCTTAGCTAACCTTCGCAAAGGGCTGTCCCACCTGCGGACGGGCCGGTTAGTCAGCAGTTAGACTAACAGGTAGTCCATCTGACGGGCAAGCTGTGAAGGTTGTGCAGTGGAGGATGTGGTCTTGGTTCGGCCTCACCAGCGATCCAGAGGGAAGACGGGTTGCCCGTTAGCCTAGCTGCTGGCTACCCGGCGCGTCCACAGGTGGCGGATAGTGGGACGACCTTCAGTGAAGGTTAGCTGCGAAATAAGCAGACCCAGGTCTGACGAATAAGCAGTCGCGGACCAGCAGCGACATTGCTACCAGGGTGCGGTGGGCTGAAGTCTGGCACGCTGAAAGCCTTATAAAATGTCGCAAAGCCCAATGACGGCATTGTGACATGGCGACCGTAAACCGCCATTAAATAAGTTTACTTGCCACCGCTGGCTTGGCAGCAACAAGCGTAATAGACCTAGGCCTCCGCACCCCGGTAACAGTGTCGCCGCTGGTTCGGGACTGCCTATTCTCTAGTCTGCTTACTCCTTAGCTAACCTGCGCAAAAGGGCCGTCCCACCTGCGGACGGGCCGGTTCGTCAGCAGTTAGGCTAACAGGTAGCCCATCTCCCTTAGAATGTTGCTGACGGGCAAGCCGAAGGTTATGCAGTGGGGGATGTGATCTTGGTTCGGCTACACCAGCGTGCCAGAGGGTACCATGCGGCATCTTCCACCTAGGCATTCCGCCGCTCCCTGCGGTCACCTGCCTGCTTGACCAATGTGTTCTCTATCCCCGTTGACTTCTGCGTGGATAAGTCGGGTCTCTTGTCTACTCGTGTTTGTGATGTAAGCCACCCCGGCGGACGGCGCGCACACGTGCTTCGCTAGCAGCTGCTATAGGCATTTCCATCATTATTTACTTTTTCAGCTTACTGACTACCGCCGTCTTTTGCGGGGCGTGCGTATCTCATGGATGTTAGGCTTGGTCAACTCGTAATGTATAAGCCGCTCCCCTAGCAGTCTCCTAGTCAACTCGTTACAACTTATCAAGTGGCAAGCTAGTATAAACCGTTAATGTAAATGCCAATCTTCCACCCCTTCTCTAGACTGACCTACGGCCCTTCAGTGAGCACTTAATTGTTATAGCGCATACACGAGGCACAGCCCGCGGAGGAAGTATTAGCAGATCTCAGATGATCACCAATTTTCCAAATCACGAAAAACTAGTGGTGATCTAATCAATGAGTCAACAGAAGTCATAAGCCTTTATTGAAAAGAGGATTTATACGAAAATAAGCTATGTCGCGATTCCATTTGATACAGTTTTTGCTTTAGTTTTTCATACTCGCGAAGCTTCTCTTGATACAGGCCCAGTTCGTTTTCCCAGGAAGCGTAGAAGTAGTCACGCCAGGCAGATAGGCGACAATACTCCTCCCACACAGCACACTGACGAGAAGTAAGTTGTCGAACCCCAACATCTGACTCAGCAACAGTAGCGGCATCCGAGGCCTTTGGAGCAACAGCGTAAGCAATATCCGTTCTTGGGGTTGTAACTGTCACCGGCATCTGAGTGTTCTGGACGGGGTCGTCTCCCACTGCTTTTTTATCGGTGCAATTTTCTAGTGAGTGATCAAATGGAGGGCCCTGTAGACGGTCATTCGCCGAGGTGGTTTGATCAATAAGCTCCGATAGACAGCGAATGGCTTCCACCTCCAGATCATGAGGCAGATGGAAGGGCGTTAGACTGGGGTGCGCGGCCGCACAATCATTGTCCACGTTCACTGAGAGATTCAAAAGTTCCTGGTAAGAGAGAAGAAGCACTCTCGAACAAACGTCCAGCTCATCGTTCAACACCTAGAAACGAAATTCAGCAACTTACGTGGTTCTCCATGGCGTCAGCATAGGCCAGTATGCTCTGCATTAGACGTGGAGGGGTCCTTCTAATGCGGCGGTCATTTGGTGGTGAACGAGTCGACCTAATCCGCATCGCCGACCCGGAGGAGCATTTTGATTGCTCAGAAGGCGAAGTAACAGGCAGGTTATCCACTGGGTTCAACGGAACTGTGGGTGGTTTTCTGCGATTGGTGATTTTTGTAACAGTCACAAGTTCCGTAGTGTCAACTTGGCAGTCGGAGTCGGCCAGGTTTGATGGAATCGGTTCTGAATAGGAAAGTAGCAACGAATTATGAAGGATTAAGTTTT